GACAAGACTAACATAGGGAGGCCTGCATAGATGCAAGCACAGGCACACTTTAAATCATACATAGCTGTAACAGGAAATATGTGAGAATGTCATTCTCCGTCCTCTAATATAGCGGTGCTGTAAAAGAAATGGCTGAACAGCTGCTGACACATGGTATAACGCACCACCTCCAAGCAGCAACAGAATAGGAGTTGGGTGAACAGAAGGTTATATACACCAATGACCTGCCAGTTTTTCTAGAGGATATGCTTAAAGCTGAACTCCAAGCAGATAAAAATCACTAAGAGTTACGCCAGCTGTGTCATTATTAACAGGGGCCCATTCATAATGCAGCTGTATGACCCTTCTGGGGCTGTGTCCGGGATGGGGGGTGGGGTTGGTGGAAGAGAGGAAGAGGAGAGCCCAGTTATGACCTGTCAAAACTCACATGAATGACTCCAATCACAGAGTTCCTTGTAGTATTACAGTCCGTATTTTATGAATGTCTGGTGGAGAGCAGGGGCGGATTGACAACTCATGGGGCCCCCGGGCAATAGGGGATCATGGGGCCCCTGTGTCCTTGCCCAAACTCAAAAAAGCCTATGAAAAAGGTACCAGGGGCATCTCATGGGGCCCCCTACTGACCCCGGGCTCTCGGGCAGTGCCCGAGTTTCCAAATGGTCAGTCTGCCCCTGGTGGAGAGTGGATAGGTGGATATGCTATATCCACTATAAATATGCTCCTATAGGTATTTTCAGATAGAACAGGCACATGACTCTGTTACATTAACCCCTTCCCGCCGGAGCCCCCAGCCCTTTAAGAGTTTCAGACGCCAGGAGGCAGGGCGGGTTGGGCGTGGTTTAGGGATCATGTGACCGTCGTGACGCGTCGTCATGACGGTCACATGTTCGGGAAAGGTCCCGATCGTAAGAGCGAGTCGGGACCTTTCCGTGAGTACCGCACGTGTGCTGGGAGCGCACGCTCTCAGCACATGTTTTTTGTTACATGAACGCAAATGTGCGGCAGGCTCCCACCGTCTAGGCCCAGACGCTGGGAGGCCGCACATTTGTGTGCGGCCGGCGTAAAGGGGTTAACCTGCAGTAAAGCCTTGTTTACTCAAAGGGGCAGCACTGTAAACCAAACAGGGGTCTATCTCTTACAGTGAACATGCCTACAGGAGAATACACAGGGATGATTTCATCAGTCACAGGCTAAGCAGAGTCTTTGACCATATAGCCTTAGTTTTATTTATCAAAGAGGACCACAAATTGGCTGTGCTGCCTGCTAAGAGTGCCTACATTACAAGTCTAGCTGAACACAAACGCATATCCAGACAGAAACGGTTTTCAACTGTGAATATGTGCTTGGCTAGAGTTTTCCTTTAAGTAGCACATCACACACCATTATACAAATATGTACTACATGGATAAGACTAAGTGTTTACAGCCATTGAGCAGCACCTACAGATCACGTTTCCCAATGGAGCTGCAAAAAAGCAAAAACACAGCAGTGTGTTTAACCTCCCTGGCGGTCTGATTATTTCAGATTTTTGGTGCTGAAAAGCGGGTACTATTATTTTGCATGGAAATATGTAGTTTTTTTATTGTAGGCTGTAATTTTTAGGAATAACTCACTGAAATCTGTCCGAACAAGAGTCTAGTAAACATCCCGGATATGATAAAATTTGAAACACAAAATCATAATTTAATAAATAATCATAAAAAATAATATAATAATAATATATTTAATTCAATAATGTAAACAAACCAAAAACACTGAAATTTTAAATATAGCGCCAAGTTCGCACATCGCTGAGCAAAGTCGCAAAATTGTTTTCAGTGTCAGATGAGGAATTTCCCCACGAATCATTATCACTCAATTCTGCAAGTGGTTCTGATTTACTATCGCTGTTCTCTAGCTGATCTAAAACCACTTTTGACCTAAAAGGGACGCTTTTTGGACGCCATGGACTTTTCTATGTTTCCAGGCAGAAAGAACTGTCAAAATGCAGACAGGGGACAGGACAAAGCACTCGGGACAAAATGTACGTGGAATGGTTTGAAACAGCAATGTATTATTATGTAAAATTCGTTTTGAAAAAAAATGACATTTTTTTAAAATGTTCAAAATTTCCCGCCGCCAGCACGTCCCGACGTCACAGGGACCGGAACACAGGAGCCGGATGGGGACACATCGTGGGAGCGAAGGACAAGGCAAGTGCTGGAGGGACTCCCTATGCAGCGCCGCATGGTAAGCCCGAGTGTAGCTTGGGGTTACCGCTTTTGGTACAGAAACTTTACCCCGAGCTACACTCGGGAATACCGCCAGGGAGGTTAATGTATCAGGATGTCAGACTAAAACACTAATCTAAAACACTCAAAATACAAAGATAATCATTCTATTCCCACACAGGCAGTGTTAAGTTAGGCAACAAAAATATTTTCATTGGCTAAATTAACACTATTTTAGTCGACTAAAATACGACTAAAACTAAAACAATTACGATGAATAAAATGGGACTAAAACTAAAATGGCATTTTGGCCAAAAGACTATGATTAAAGATGAAATGAAATTTGATGGCAAAATTAACACTGGTTATATATCATAAGGGCTAAATCCATGTCTTTAGTGCATGTTCAAACCTTAATACCATAAAATATATGTTATTAGATTTTTACTCCAGGAGTATATAATGATTTTGGAAATTCTAGAGAAAAGCTTAAATAAAGCATTACAATTTAACTAAACCCTTTAGATTTTAGTTGACTACAATGTACTGGAGATTTTAGTTGACTAAAATATGACAAACAATTCAGATGAATAAAATATGACAAAACTAAAATGGCATTTTAGTAAAAAAAAAAAAAAAAAAAAAAAAAAAAGACAGACTAAAACTAAATAATTTGATGTCAAAATTAACACTGCCCACAGGGCTACAACACAATAAAGGAAACACTTGACTACTAAAAAGTTAAAACTTTTTTTTTTTTTTTTTTAGCTTTGGATAGAGTGGAGAGGCATTAGAACCAATATTTTTATTTCTGTCTGTGTCCCTGTTAGCGTGAGTCACTTTAATTGTCCTGATCACGTATGTCATGATAAATGAAAGTTATGGGTGAATCTAAAAATTTGAGTCGCTAACAAAATAGGAACAGAGGAGAAATCTTCCAACTTGTTTGCGTGCCACCCAAGCTAGGATTCTCCTCAGGAGATATATCAGGTCATTGCCTTCTGAGATTATAGGGCTGGAAGTGAAAGGAAATATCCTTAAAATACAGATGGCAAAAAAATCAAAACAAAAAAAACACTCAACAGGTATTACTTCAAATATACTTTAAAAACTCAAAAAGCAAAACACCATATAACATGCAATCCTTACATGATGAATTTTAGTAGCAGGTCTGTGATTTTCTTGGCCAATCTAACAATGTTGCTCTCAGGTTCATTGAAAGTTCTGGCATTGTGTTCAATGTATCTCAATTCCCAGATTAGTGCAGACAACCTCCTATAAGAGACAGACAGACGAAAATTAGAAAGGAATCATCTTAAGGTTTCTCACTACAGCAGTTAGGTCTCAACGTAGAAGACTTCACAGTTTACATTAGGAGGGGGGTCCAAAGCAAGCCATAGATAATGCAATTTTCCTTTCTTCCATCATGGGTGGAAGGAAAGAAAATTGCTTGATTCCCCATCCAACACCAAAATCCCTCCCATAGTGCTACTGTATTTTGCCAGCGGGAAACGTAGGAAGCCTTCCCTGCAAGCAGAACACAATGCTTAATGTTTCCGTCGTCACTAATTATTCAGGAAAAATCCGACAGGCTGGTTGTACACAAGGTGATGTTGTGTACACAACCAGGATTCCCATACTTGGATAGAACATTTCAATCCATGTACAGCCAAGCTTTGCTCTCATATACTTTATAAAGAATAATTGGCTAATCACAAAATGTTATCATTTCAAGCAATCCTATTCTCAAAGATTGATCATTTAACACAATTGTTTAGACTTAAAGTCGAACTAAAAGGGAGGACACTCACCTTCCCAATGCTCCAGAGCCAGCATTGTCACCTGTGTGCTGGGTGTTTGCCATCTTTATTGGCACACAGGATCGGCCCGGCCACTGTAAGCCGAGCTGTGCATGCGCAGCTCAGTTTACAGCGCGGAGATCGCTGTAAGCAGACAAGTAGGTATATTTTATTGCAGAAGAGACAATAAAATGCTTGCCTGCTCACAGTGCATCATAGCAGAACTTTAGTTCCACTTGAACTAGATTTTTCAACATGGTATCTTCTTTGACCTCTTACTACTGTGTACAGACCGCTTGGTAGTTGATTTCTAATACAATGCATTTTCTGAAAATCAATTCCCCCCCCCCCCCCCCCCCATAGTGGCTAGAGCTATAGCCACTATAGGGAAAATGCATTGGGAAAGAGTTTAAAAGGCCACCTGAATCCAGGAAAACTAGACTTCTTTTTAACAATGTCACTCAAGCAGATTATCCGTTATGGTCACTACTGTGAGAATAAGCAGTGAACAGCCTCTGGAGACACAGATTTGCTGGTATCCCATGCCTGGTAACAGATCTGTCAAAATCTCTCTATGCCCTTTCCCCTGGATATTAGTTGGGGAACCCGTGCTTGCCTGTTTTTTTGCCATCCCATATAGTTACTGCTTGCTGTATGTTGATATTTCCAGGAAGAGTCGATATGAGCGCTTGTGCGGCTACACCTGCAAATTGTGGATGGTAATTGTTGAGCTCCAGTTGTACTTGTGTGAAGTAATACAATTTCTACTGGTATATTTCTGTGTTGGGATTGTTGATTCTCAAGCTTGCATTAAAAACATTGTGTAAAACCCATTGTGTTGGCTCTAATCCTTAGCCCTATCCTCCATCACATATATTAGGATTATTTCAAAAATGAAAAAAAAAGCAAATGCTATCTTGTTTGACACTTTGGGTGTCTACGTGAAAGGAGAATGTAAAGACAGGTGAAAGCGGTTTATTCAGTTTAACTTCACTGAATTCACCTTGTTAAGCCTGTTCCCTGAAAGGTTTAGTGACAATATGGACTGATAAAGAGCTTGTGCAGTTAAAGTGTTACTAAACCCCGGACCCCGCATTCACTATATCCGCTCTCCCCGGACCCCGCATTCACTATATCCGCTCTCCCCGGACCCCGCATTCACTATATCCGCTCTCCCCGGACCCCGCATTCACTATATCCGCTCTCCCCGGACCCCGCATTCACTATATCCGCTCTCCCCGGACCCCGCATTCACTATATCCGCTCTCCCCGGACCCCGCATTCACTATATCCGCTCTCCCCGGACCCCGCATTCACTATATCCGCTCTCCCCGGACCCCGCATTCACTATATCCGCTCTCCCCGGACCCCGCATTCACTATATCCGCTCTCCCCGGACCCCGCATTCACTATATCCGCTCTCCCCCGGACCCCGCATTCACTATATCCGCTCTCCCCGGACCCGCATTCACTATATCCGCTCTCCCCGGACCCCGCATTCACTATATCCGCTCCCCCGGACCCCGCATTCACTATATCCGCTCTCCCCGGACCCCGCATTCACTATATCCGCTCTCCCCGGACCCCGCATTCACTATATCCGCTCTCCCCGGACCCCGCATTCACTATATCCGCTCTCCCCGGACCCCGCATTCACTATATCCGGTCTCTCCCCGGACCCCGCATTCACTATATCCGGTCTCCCCGGACCCCGCATTCACTATATCCGCTCTCCCCGGACCCCGCATTCACTATATCTGGTCTCCCCGGACCCTGCATTCACTATATCTGGTCTCCCATAGTACACAGAACATGGAAATGCAATTATTTTAGTAAATATAAACTACTAAATACCTTTTTTCATCAGCAGTTAGAGCAGTCTTGTGACTACTGCAGAGCACTGGATAAAGCTTGTAGGAGGAGCTTTCTTTCTGCTCTAGGAAGATGTGAAAGCCCTAACCCTCTGTCTGGACAGTGCTGATTGGCCCTGTGGTCATCACATGCACTCTCTCAAGAAAAAAACAAAAAACAAAAAAACCTCTCTAGCAACACACCAAACTGAGCAAGTGACTACAGATTCACTCTGTATCAGGTGGTCATTTCAACAAGAAGAGGGGCAGAGAATAGAGGATCAAAAAGCCTTTTTTTACACAATGCAGAGGATTAACCCCTTAGGTTACACAGTGAGTATAACAAGCATGCTTTACTGCATATACAGACTGATTTCACTGGTGTGGGTTTAGTAACACTAAGTCTCACTTATTCTGTCAAGTATTTGGATAAAGAGCTCACTAATGAAGATGCAAGGGCTTAGTGCACGCCTGGCAAGATCTTTGACAGTTTATTAGCATGAGAATTAAATTATTATAGTATTTGTAAAATAGTGAACTAAATGTTGGTAACATCAGCTTCACTGCTTGACTTGATTACTGATTAATAATCTCACAGGTAGTTGAGGGAGTAGTAAGAAAAAGAAATCTAAGACCAGTAAAAATGTCATCTTCATAGCAACAGATTTCATGCCCATCTCCAGCCAAAACATTTGTTGGTCTGAGTGGGGAAAATAGGATTTTTGATTGGAGTTCGTCACAGGGCATCTTAATATCCATTACAATAAGGTTATGTGTCCATATTCAGGCAACTGGACACTAGCATAAAAAAAAAATAAATAAAAAAACAAAAAGACAGGAAATCCCTTCTGAGGCATAACCCCTTGACAACTAAGCAGAGCTTCAGTTTTTTTTTTTTTTTTAGCAAGCCATGAAACAACAAACGGAAGAGGGGTGGGATCCCAGTGTCTTCTGATGTACCCAAAGAAAAGGATTTTCCAGGTAAACCACAAATCCTATTTTCTTTATCGTACATCTCAGGACACAGTGCATCTTCACATCCATTACGATAAGGATGTCCATAAGTACTTAATATGAAGGGAGGGCAACAAGCCATAAATAACGAAAACAAAAAACTGGGTAGAAACTCATGCAGCAGCTTGGAAGACTCGCCTACCAAAAGTCGTGCCCTTAGAAGCTCAAACTTCCACCTGGTAAAACTTTGTAAATGTATGAACTGAAGGCCAAGTAGCAGCCTTACAAACTTGAGTTACCGAGGCTTGATATCTAACCGCCTAGGAAGTTCCAAAACTCCTGGTAGAATGATCTGTCACTGTAAACGGTTGGATTGTAAGCTAGAGCAATAACCTGATGGATCCATTGAGAAAAGCAAGATTTGGAAGCTCCGTGGCCCTTCCAAGGGCGGTCCGAAAGCACAAAGGGAAACAGATTGATGAATTGTAGCAGATTTCAGGTCTTGGCTGAACAAACCAGACCCAAGGTACAAAGAACCTTAGGTAAAACTGAGGCCATAGAACCAACTTCCCACAGTGAAGCCCCAGGAACGTTTCTCCTAAGGCTAGGCTCACACTTATGCAGGTCCAGGAATACGAATAAATCGCATGAATAATGCACTGCTCTTTAATTCTTAATGACACATCTGAAAATGCAGCACGTTTTCGGGTGCATAAAAGCACCATACGGTTTCCCTGCTGTTGCGTTTTTGAAAAGGTGCATGGATCTTTTCCCTGCATTTCCCGCAGGTACAGCCGTCCCATTCAAATTATTGGACTCTTATTTATTCCCATGCAAACGTGGTACACAGGGAATGGATAAATGTGAAGACTTACAAGTAAGTGCAAACAATTCTGAGACTCTACAAGCCAAATTAATGGCAACCAGAAAAAGAACCTTCCGTTTCAGGACTAAGGCAATGTCCCACATGGTACTTTCTATATTGCAGAAATCCCCATATGAACCCATGCAGAGTTCCCGCAGAGTTTAACTGGTGGAACAATGCATGACCCCTTGTACAAAAAACATGCACCAAGGAATTCAAACCAATAGGTTTCTGAAAGAGGACTGCCAAGATCAAAACCTGACCCTTGGTTGTACTCAAGGCCTGTCCCAGATTGCAGAAACACCAGGTTGCAGCCCATGACATATTGTCCAAGTCTCACACTAGACAAAATAAGACTTAGTCTGACAATAAATCTTCCTTGAAGTCACATTCCTAGCCTTCAGTAGGGTAGGAATGATCAATTGGAGATTCCCCAGTCTCTCAGGACCCTGACTTTACAGTATTGCCGTTACAGCCTGCAATTATAAAGGACGATGGAGCATTAGACCTTGCAACAGGAGGTCAGGTCAATATAGCAGAATCCAAGTTATTCCTACCGACAAGTTTACTGCGCACTCTTGGGCCAGGTCAGGGCCTTCAGAATTACTGTAACGCCTTCTACCTGATTCCGGTGTCCTGCAAAGCAGACAAGATAAACGCTGTAGCAGTGGAAAGATAAATATTAAGGATAAGTGATCCAACAGCATCAGAGCACTCACTGCGAACGTTCAAGGATCTCTGGAAATGAATCTGTCCAGCATCGTATTGAAATGGATGCCAGAAATGTTCTTTGAACATCACTGGTTGAAGAGCACACTCCTTTGGAGTCAGTCATTGACAGCTGAGGAAATCTGCCAGCCTATTTTCCATGCCAGGAATGCACATGGCGGACACAGTGGTAACATGAAGCTCTACCCAAAGACAGGATGAGACCCACTGACTCCTGAGCAGCAAAACTTCTGGTAACCTCCCTGAAGATTTTTGTACACAACTGCTGTGGCATTGTCCGACTAAGTCCTTAACAGAGAGGCCCTCCACCTGCACAGTCTAGTGCAGCACAGCACGATGAACCACCATCAATTGCAGGACTTTGATGGGCAATGATTTCTCCGGTGTTCACCAAGTCCCCTTAACTGACAGACTGTCCAAACCTCCACCCTAGCCCACCAAGCTGTTCATCATCAAGACCATCCAAGGCAGAGGGAGGAAATATTTTCCCATCTCCAGCATTCGCGAAGAGATCTACTAGTCCAGAGAAAGTCTAGTTCTAGGGTGTTACTGCTTCAGGGAATCCAAGGACTGTTCTCCTGTCCCATGTGGACAAGAAACTCAGTTTGAGGGATCTGGAATGAAACTGGGTAAAAGTAACTTCCTCAATGGAGGATACCATCTTTCTCAGTACCATCATGGAAAGCCAAATCGAAGGGTTATCAGAACAAGGCATTTGTCCTGGGGTAGGACTCACTTTCAACTAAACTAAGTTCAACACCAGACCTAAATATTCCAATCCTTGACTTGGGACAATATTTGAAGGTTCAGGATCCTTCCAAAGCTCTCCAAAGTCTACACTGTTCGATTCACATTGAACTCCAGAAGCTGAGTGGACTGCTCCCTCAGAAGAAAGTTGTACAGAAAGCAAGGACAAAGAATACCCTAAGTACATAGGAAGAGACTGGCTAGCACCTTGGTGAATACCCTGGGAGCTGTGGCTAGGCTAACCAAAGCAACATTACAGCAGTCCCCAGTGTGGGGTCCAAGTATGGTTCCAAAAACATTACTGAGGTTGAAACAATCAGGAAATACAGCTTCTATTGTTGTATTAGAAGGCAGTTAATAGTCCTTTGAAGAGGAATTTGATTTAAATAGGAACTAGTTAAGCATAGAAACTACACCACAGGGGAGAAGAGGTTCATTACCTACAGGAAACTAGCAAAAAAAAAAAAAACCCACGGAGTGGGGTAGGGTTATAGGGGTGCACTCAAGGGGGAGTATCCAAAAGCTGTGTCAGTGTTCTGTCACTTGAAGGTAGCAGCCTATAACCCAGGGTCTATGAACATACAAGCCTGTGTCCTGTACTGTATAACTGAGATGTACTGTATTACTTTATGTGCCACCATTTGAGATTTTGCACACATCCTGTCTTGGTGACCAGACAGGAAGTGAAGGGAAATCTCCCCAAAGGTTACAAAAATAACAAAAAGGTGATTAAGCCTTCCTCACTCGGTACAAAACTAAAAGAAAACATTTGCTTCAGGTTTACATTATTTTTATATCAAGATGATCATACAAGATAAAAGTGGGTCATGTGCTTGCATCTCACCGGTAAAAAAACGGTTGACAAGTCTCATACGTATAGTGCTGAGGTCTGTAGGGTATGCCACCACTATGCAATATTGCGGATAGACATTTAAATCCACGGGTGCAGCAAAAGGTGCAGCGATATCTGTCAACAAATTAACCATTTGTTCAAATAAGGCTATTAAAGGCAATATCTAAAAATTATAACAATCAAGGGAAGTACGCATTTAGCTTTACATTCACCCAATTACTTACCTATATTAAAAAGTTGATCGATAGCACAAATAATTCTTTCACACTGTGTATGCTGGTCACTGTCCGCCCATTCTCCCTCCTGGGGGCGATAGAGCAGAGCATCCATCTCTTCAAGTGTTATGGAGACACTGGTCCCTGGCTCTTCTGGTGGAATCACTAAGAATATAAAAAACAATGAACTGCGCTAAGCAACATATACTAAATGCAAATGGACTGGCAAACCCTTAAATGGTAACTAGGATGAATTCCCTCGTGAATGGTTACTGTCACTGTGCAGACAAGCCTCTGTGGCAACTGCAGGTTTAAGTCATCTACTCAGTTTACAT